CAAATCGAGCTCAGATCACCCTGATTGACCCGAACCCGTTGCGCAGGCGAGGCAATCCACCGGCTCCCAAACAGTTTACTTTTGATGCGGTCCTGACCAAGGAGGTTGCCATGGTAAGCGGGACAAATACATTGTTCTACAAAGCCGTTGTTGTTATTTTCGTATACTGAATGATAAAAATCTCATAGTTACTGGCTTTATTTATAGGTATTTTAGTGTGAAGTACTTTACAGTACCAAAGCTGTTGTATGTCATATATATATATATATGTTATCTGTTATATGTCAACATACAAAATAGGGAGGTTATTTAATGAGAAGAGGGAAGAGGAAATTCCGACGCCAGTGGGCTCTGAACATCTAACTTTCGGGCCAAACAGTCAGTGAACAGATTTCGTCCTCCGGTGTTGCTGTTTCGTTGCAAATGCGATATGAAAGAGATCAAGTTGCTTGTGGACTAAAGCAAACACAAACAATTAGTCAGGTAGGGAATGTTCCCGACCGATCCATAGCCCAAATGAACGAATAATGGATAATGCCAGCAATGGGCTTCCCATTCGGGGTTACGCTTTATCGTGGGGGGGGGGGNNNNGCGGACAAATTGGAAAAACACTGTCATATGATCAAGTGGCCAAGTACGTTTGTGTTCCTCCCATGACGTCCAGATTCCGATTCTACTTTGGATCAATGAATTCATACATCCGAGTCGGTCGAAACACCCGTATAAGATGTAATTCACCCATGCAATAAAGCAGAACGTTCTTGCACTGGAATGGAAATATACCTACTATCACCGATCTGAGGGCATTGAAAGTATATGTGTTTGCCTCCGACAACGACGAACTGAAGTGTATGATTGGGGACTGGGCACTGATATACAGTTTCATCCGACATACTCTGTCAACTGACCCGTAGAAAATCGTTTCCTCCCCTTCCATTGCTAATCAGTTCTGTTTTCAAGACAGAACCCATTAAGTGGATCACTAGTGAAAAGGTGCGTACGTGTCTGATCGGTATGAGCAGGATGTTTACTAACAGACCCAGATAACTTCAAACAGCAAACGTAACATACATTTTAGACACCCTCCCCCCCCCTCTTCCACTTGTGGCCGATTATCTTTTGTCAGTGTGTTTTTGAGTGTGAACGCCAGTTAGTACTCGATCGATCCACATTGATCTGTACTAAGCACGACCATCTAGTTGGACAAGTTCTCACGGTAGTAAGAGACCCAGCCCTTGAATCGATGCCAGTGGTCAGTCAGTATGCGGGGAGGGGGGTTGGGTTGGAAAGCAGAAGA